CCCTTGTACATGCCGGTTAATTATCGGCACGTACTTCTGGGACACCCTGTATATTTGTGACAAGTGAATATTAAAAACGCAGTGTTTTATACATCGGTTTTCTCACCACTTGCTCACCCCTTTTCCCGACACCCATTTCCAATTTTCCGACGCCCGACCACCCACACACAACGTTCCTCAACAAACATTGGTCCTTCAAGCCGGATCGGTGCGGAAAAAATAGTGCCACAGACGCCAATTTTTAGAAAGCTTGGGAGAAGCTCCAACGCCACTATGAGAATCCACGTCTCATTGCGGGGCATCTCTTCAACAGGGTGCCCAACCTGCAAACAATGGCCAAGGGAGATGCCAAGGCAATGATCAACAACGCTCACATTGCACGGGAGACAGTGGATCAGCTTATCAACACAGCTGGGATACCAAAAGAAGGATTGGGTGAACAATTTGTATTCCACCTACTCAAGCGCTCTATGGAGGCGGACACACGCACCACATGGGAGCAAAAGCTGGGTGCCTCAACGAACTTCGTGCCCCTACAAGAGCTTGTCAACTTCCTGGAGTCAACTGCCAGAGGCATGACTCCAGATGATCAACCGAAAAGAAAAACGAAACCAACGCCTCAAGGAAAACCAACACAACGGGCACGTGCATATCATGTGGCTGAGCCAGCACCTCAACAAACAGAGAGTCAACGATTCAGACCTGCTGATTGCTGCGCATATTGCAGGGACAGGCACTTTATTGGAAATTGCCCAGGATTCCAAAACCTTCCACCAAGGAAACCGTTGGAATACATCACAGGCATGCGCCTGTGCTTCAACTGCTTCGGCACGCTCACGGTGGCAAAATGCAAGTGCATCAAAGCTTGCTTTAAATGCCAACAACGCCATCACACGATGCTGCATCTGGACCAAGAGAGGAGTGAATCCAGCACCTCATCCAACAACGCTCCAGAGGCACCAGCAACGAGGGAGGAAGCAGGTCTGAGTGTTTGATTTATTATATTCTCATACATCACTCAGAACACTGATCCCCCTTGTACATTCAACCAGGCACAATCATCAGCTCATCAACAGTCAACGTCAATGAAAACTCAACGGATCGAGAATCATCAACACGAATCAACGTAGAGAACAACACGCTGTCCATCAACTCAACGGATCAACGACTAGTGCTCTTGGCAACGGCAAAAGCCAGGGCATTCTCCAACGGCGGATTCTACACCATCGCAAGAATCCTCATCGATCAAGGCTCAGAGCTTTCATTTATTACTGAAAGCCTGGTGCATCAACTCCACCTACAACGAAGACACTCAACAATTGACCTCATCGGAATTGGCGGAAAGCACGCATGCAAAACGAGAGGAATTGCGGCAATCACGCTCCAATCAACGAAAGAGCCATTTCAACAAGTTGAGATCAACGCCCACATCCTCAAACGGGTAACCTCACGGTTACCAACGTTTTATTGCTCATCTGCATCAATCGGATCACTGCAGCAGCTTCAACTGGCAGATGAGACCTATTCAACACCTGGACCTATCAACATCATAATCGGAGCTGACAACTATGGGAAAATCATCGGTCATCAAGTCAAGAAATCCAACGACAATAAATTAGTTGGCCAACTAACGAAATTTGGATGGATCCTATCCGATCCATTATGCAATGCGAACTGTTCAACAAGACCTCCTTCTCCGCGGCAAGGGGATCCTCTAAAGAACAATTAACGGAGCTCCTACAAAAATTCTGGGTCCAGGAAGAACCACCAACTCCAACGAACGCAACCAACGAGCTCACACCAGACGAACGAGAGTGTGAAGAACACTTCCAACGCACTCATCAACGAGACACAGCTGTGCGCTATATTGTGAGATTACCACTGCGCACATCAACTACAGCGCTCGGAGAATCGAGGAGTACGGCGGTTCCTCAACTCCATTCAGTGAAAAGAAGATTGAACGCCAATCCTGAATACAGCAAGCTGTACAACGACTTCATCAACGAGTACGAAGCATTTGATCACATGCGACGTACACACGACACCTCAGAACCATCAACAACATATTACCTGCCACATCATGGAGTTCTGAGGGAGGATGCACTAACCACGAAGCTACGAGTGGTTTTCAACGGCTCCAACAAAACAACTTCGTGCATGTCACTCAACGACATCCTCCACGCGGGCGGGAAGCTTCAAGTGGATGCAATGGATTGTAATGATTTTTCCTCTGTGGCCTCACCAAATACTCAAAACCCTAACCCAATTTTATCGATATCCTAAAACACGGCCAAAACCATTACCTTCGTTCTCGCAATCCCGACGACTCTGGAGTGACAAAACCATAAAAATCTAAACGAAGCTCCGGGGGTGATCAGCAGCTCATTCCAATCCTTAAAAATGTGTTTAGGGCGCCACCCGATTTTTAGCTACGCGGCATCGACGAACCGCAACCGTAACTGTAACCGTATTCAAAACTCAATTTTTCACTGATCATCCCCAGAATTTCCTATCGCAGAAACTAAACCTAGAGTCGGGGAGGTGCGAGGGTACGGGACTGCTCGGTTGCTCAGTGTGCGGGTCGTGGAGCGAGGGGTGGATTCGTTGACGAGAGCATCAATTATCCGAATTCGAAATAAGATCAAGAACCTGAACTAAACTATTTGGGTATTTATAGGGACGGGCATTCGGGTAGGAGAAATAAAACCAATCGGAACTATCCTTACTTGTTCCACTATTGACCAGAGAAAAAAAATGAATATTGTTCATTAGGAAACTTATAATTAATATAGATTGCTCAGTCTACATTTTTCATACCACCGGCATTCGCCCAAAAGGTAAGAATTTGACTTTAATGAAATATAAGTGGAGTAATGATAAACGGGAGTTCTATGGGGAAGTAAGGAAGAGAGAATAGCTTTTAATTTTATTAAATTACTTATGTTATCCAGGTGGGAAAGACAGGAAACTTCAGGGGAGTCTAATCGGGTTCGAGCGAGAGAGAGAGATACGACCTTATAATTTCTACCGATCAGTTGCTAAGGTACAAATTCTATTAGGTAGCATTATTTGATCGTTCCGTAACGACTTTATTCAATCTGGTGGCCCGTTTGTGACTAATTTCTTAAATCAGGAATATTTGTCGGTTAGGTAGCGGTTGAGGTAGCGTGATGATTATTTCGGTAGCGGAAATGGGCCGCAGGTATAGGGGTCATTAGGTAGCTTAGTTCCCGCGATAGGTAGCGTTATCCGGGGATTTGGAAGAGGAATCGGGGTCTCTAACCAAAAATCTGTTTTACCTACGGGGCCACCACCACGTCGGGGGTGTAATAAAATTTAAAGGTAGCGTTTGGGTCCTCCGAGGCAGGGAGCCCTTAGGTAACGTGTTTTCCCGGTTAGGTAGCCTACTCAATACCGATTATCTAAATCAATAGGGTCCACCGGGTAAATATCCGTACAGGTAGCAAATCGAAATATTGAAAATTACGGAAAGGGCCTCAGACCCTGGGGAATGTATAGGTAGCTTATTCTCCTGTTTAGGTAGCGTAATTTGGGGGTTTGGTATAAACTTCCCCGGTCACGGGCTAAATCAACAACCGTGCTGTGGTAGATAGCCGTACCCAACATTCTCCCGTTTAATTATTGAGGAATAAATTAGTGAATCCATAGTTGTACCGATCCGAACGGCGAACTATTAATTAATCAACGTATTACTTCCCTAACGAATTACTAATTATATGCCCGACGGCGTCCCTGAGACGGCCAATAAGTAATCAGATAAATGGGTTAATCAATTGCGCGACCATATAAAACTTATCCTTATTCGCGAAATAGCATGACAGCTTTGTGGATTCCAACCATTAAAAATTTATTCACTACGAGATAACGTCATACCATACCCAACCGGAATCCACAAAATGGCGGACAATTACGTCTCGGGGAACATTCTGGCATCACCCAGAGAAATTGATCCAGCCTCGCGAAGGTAGCAAAAGTCGCGAAAGTTTTGATAAAAGGTAGCGATAAAATTTTTAATGCAAAGGTAGCAATAAATTGAATGGGAGGTTAACGGTAAATTTTTACTAAAAGGTAGCAATTAAGTTTAATTCCAGGTAGCAAAAATAAACCCGGTGAAGGTAGCTAAAATTATTAGGTAGCAGGTATCGAAAATTATTAGGTAGTGGTAGAGAGTGTGGAAAATAGGCAGCCATAGGTAGCATGGGAGAGAGGT